CTCCTAAATCACTCGTACGCACAATTTAAGAACAAATCTGTGCGTACGAACGGTTCTTGCATGAGACCCATTGAGCTAAATAAGATCAAATCTGCTGACTTGTGTTGTGAAATGAGACATTTTCCTGTTTATCTTCTGTTAATAAATCCATAACACAAACAGCTTTTCTGACATTATTTAAAACATTAGATAGATTATATAAACTGTAAAATATTAATAATAATTGGATTAATATTATTAATAGTTTTTATGACTTCTACACCTTTTTTTCTGCTCTGTTGTCAACATGTACAGTAATGGGAAATCCAGACTCTTGCCCGTTTAGCGTTAGCCGTTAGCTTCACCAGCCGATCACACGGTCACCTGGTTTCTGAGCGCTCCAGCTGTTCTATAGAACCTCCTTGGTTCAGACACAGACTGAACAACACACACTCAGTTAAATGACTCTAAGGAGACCAAACCATCAGCCCTCCACCACCAGGCTGACAGCTGGGAGGAGTTGTGTTGATGCCATGTTCTATTTTAGGCTTTCTCATGTACATCACGTTACTGATTGAATATCAATAACTTCCAAACAAGTCATTGATATTCAAGCTATCATCTAACAGCCCTTATGACCTTTAACCTTTAACCTGCTAACTGAGAGGATAAAGTCTGATGGTCCTTCCTCTAAGCACTGCACAGTCTGATCTTCAGGGTAAATTTGTTAGGACGTCCACTCCTGATACGTTTGGTAGCTGTGTTCATCTAATCAGCAAATGAACCAACTGAACATTTCACATCACATTCAAATAGAGTCTCAGATCCAGTGCAACATACAGTATCTTATATTTTAGCCAGAATCTTTTTGTTTTCGTGTACAGTAAATTTCCACACCTTTGAGGATGGCCAGAGCCTCTCCAATCCTGCGCAGGCTGACTGCTCCCTCCTCCACATCTTTCATTGTGACCGGTGAGTGGACGGGACTGGATACAGAGCTGCGCAGATACTCCACGAAGCCTTCCAGTTCACTACCATGAGAAGAAGAGAGGGAATGAGAGAGGAGGTGAATAAACTGTAGAAGACTTTGCATTTACTGGACAAATGGACAACTAATAAAGACTCCGTGTGGACCACAGGGAATCATCAGGCCCTGTAGATGTTTCAACGTTAACCTAAAAGATCCAACACAACCTTCAGATATTTTAATACTATTCTGAGTACAGTTGGGCATAATCGTATCGTGTGCAGTAAATCATCAGAAAAACATGAATCGATTATTTTTTGGCACTTGACGATTAATACGATTAACGCCACCAGGCAAGAGTCCACTCGGTGCTCCTCTCCACTTCAAATATGACGAATATTTAAAAAAGTTCTGCAATTTATTATTATTTATTTATCGACACAATTAAAAATTTGAAGTACAGCCTCAAGTCTGTAAATTTGACACAATTTGGAACAGATTTTTACGAAGAGCAAATCCTTCCCACTAAATTGGTCATGTGACCAGGACATAAGCGTGCCCAGGGACTCCACTGGATTAATTATCAAATTAATCGTTATTGGCTAAATACCACAATTAATCGTGATTAATTATTTTGCCAATATTGCCCAACCCTAATTCTGAGATATAAGTGCCTCTCATGAAGGAAACATTAGTAAAATTAGTTGGTTTGTTTTCATTATATCATAGTTTGTACTGATTAGGCAATGGTTTGAACTGATAATGAATGATTTAAGAGTCAGTTCCTTTCAGTGTGAGACCATGGTACTCAACCAAAAAAGGCTGGAATGGCCGTTAATGAGTGGTGGTAGGATGGAGCAGGAGATTGACGGATTGGGGCCTCCTTCTCAGTAATGAGGTCGTTGCTTTGGTCGGTCATGGTGAAAAAAGGGCTGAGTTTAATGGCAAAGCTCTCGGTTTACTGGTCTGTCTTTTCAAAGGTGGCCATGAAAAGCCAAACGTCACCAAATCTGCGTCTGTTCTGTGCCATTATGTCAATTGTCATTCATTTATATTTTTTATTAGATTTGTGGTTTCAATTTTTGACATATGTGACCCATCACATCGAAACGAGGATTAAGTCTAAAAGTGAGATATGGAGAAATAGGCAAATATAGTGTTTTGATTAAAACATTTGCAAAAATTGCATTTTGTCAAAACATAATGAATAAAAAGCCTTATCAATGTATCAGTTGAATGAACTGTCTGAAATATAATCATAAAACAAAAATTTGAAGCACGTTTATGAGCAGTAGCAACCAATAACCTGATTTTGAGGAAGAATTCCTTAAAATTTTGAGACTTTCCATGTGAGCTAGCAAAGTTTTGTTTATTTTCAGCTGGGAAATCTCAATATTCAAATATAATTTGAGGTTTCCTCTTTATAAGGACATCAAAAATTCTTCATTGAAATCACATAAATTATGATTCAGACCAAATATTGATGTATTATTGTAACCAACAAGACAAATTAAGTCATATATATGGATTTACACAAAATGTAGCTTCTAAAGCCAGGAATCTGAAAATGTAATTAGGTCATTTTGACCAAATTTGACTTAATCCTCATTTTGATATGATGGGTCACATGTACTATGTTATATATGTTGTTGTGTGTGAGAAATATGGTTTAATGAGATTTGCACGGCATTCTTTTCTTATTTTATTCTTCACGTCTAACATGTTTTTATTTGTCTTTCCTTCCAGTGAAGCTATGCTTGGAAGAGTCGTTTGGTTTTTTATATCTTTTTCCTGCCTCTGACCTCAGCCAGTCAAAGCAGATTGCTGCCCATCCTGAGCCTGGTTCTAGTTTTGCTTCTTCTGGAGGTTTTATCCTTTTAAAAGGGAGTCATTCCTTTCCACCTTTGCCAATGTGCTGCTCAGGATGGGAGACTGTGGTGAAATAAAGCTTCAACACAATCTGCTGGCTTCCTTGTATTGATAATTTTGACTAAATGTCATTTTACATGTGATTTTTTTCATACAGAGGCCCTGAGGTGACGTTTGTTGTTTAAATGAACTGAGATGAACTGAAATTGTACTCTGAAGCTTTCTCTATATTTGTCTTTTCGTCACATTGACTCCAGTTATTCACTGATATATGCAGACATACGCTGTCTCCTTCTTCTTCGTTGGTAATCTACAGCTATAACTTCAGAAGGGCTGATTGGCCTTTTCAACAATTCCTCTCTTGTTCTGACATCAGGCTCAGTGGTGCAGCTAAAATCAAATCATCGGTGGCGTGCAGGACACGGCACAGTCACATCAGCAGGCATACAGTCAATGTGAAGATGCATATTGTTAAAAATAGAGGCGGGGGATGGGAGGTGACTTGATCTGAGACGACATGGTCTTCCAGAGACATCAGAGCTCAGAGCAAAGTTTTCTTCTATAAGCTTCGATAGCTCTGCTAACAGAAGGCTGCATCGCAAGCAGGAGTCTCTCCAGATGAGAGTGATACAGTGATCTGTCTGCACACCAAATCACACACCATTAACACAATACCAACACATCAAGATGGAACAGATGGCTCAGAAAGGTCAGTGTTGCTCAGTCCAACCAGAAGGATGTGGCACATGTCTGTTTCCATGATGCACAGATGCTAAGATGTTTGTTGGTACTCTCTTAGCCCATTGAAGCAATGCTTCGTGTTTATCTGCATGCATTTAGTACACTGAAAAAAATAACTTGTAAGATGTACTTGAAAAAAATCCTCTAACAAATTTGCACTAACAGTTGTTAAGTAAATTTAAATGCTACAAATTCATGTAATATTTACTCAACGTTATCTAATAGAAGTTATTAAGAATATAGTTGAAGATTTGTGAATAAATCAGGTAAATTTTAATTACTTTGCTCAATTAAATTTTGTAACATATACTTGATCAAATTAAGTAAAATTTACCTGATCTATTCATAAATCTTTAACTATATTCTTAATAACTTTTACTAGATAATGATGAGTAAACATTACTTGAATTTGTAACATTTAAATTTACTTAACCAACATTAGTGCAAATTGTTACGAGGATTTTCTCTAGTAAATCTTACAAGTTCTTTATTACAGTGCACGTGTCAAGCACAATATTGTAGCATGACACCTCACAGCTACAGAGAGAGGTGTAGCTCATGTTGTGGTTCAAAACTTCACCACCACGTGGTGGTTTTGAAGAACCTTTATTGGATTCTTCTTCATGAACAA